AATATGGGGTAAGGAAGAGGCTGAGAATGGAGACAGATGTTCCCAGTGGTGACCCCTACAGGAGGGAGCAATCAGATGATGTAAAAATAATTTTAAAAAAAGATGGGTCACCAAGGTCAAAAGCTAAGTATGTATTTAGAAGTGAATCTGTTGAATGTATAATTGAAGACAGGGATGAAAGGCTCTTTGAAGCCACTTCTCTGGTTGTTTTCAGTGTGTTCACAAATTCAAAACCACGGGTCAAAAATAGAAGCAAAGTCAGGGGATTATCAAGGTCGCCGTGATTCGCCAGATGCATGCCTTTGAGTTTTACGACCATCCATCCAATGATTATAATTTCAGTCTGGACCAAAAACTTTAACCGACTCGCCATCTGACCTACAAACCGTGCCAGAACCACACCTTTGGCACAGGCCAGAGTTGTCTCTGCAGACGGAGGCATTTGGTGAATATTTGCCACTATGTTGTATATTTTATCTGCCGTAGTCGTGGCATCTCTGGTATGTCTGCAGTAAACAGGACACCTGACTCTAAATCCCTTTGTGCTGCTGTTCATGTCTCTCTCTCTCTCTCTCTCTCTCTCTCTCTTTGATCAGATGAATTGCTTCCATTTGCTTCCTCTGTCTTCTCAGGGCTTTTCCAGGCAGCTTTATCCAAAGCACATGTCTCTGGTATCAGCAGAATGTCTGGGACAACTAAGATAGTGCCCATTATTTAAGAGCCTCCAGTGGCTAAAAACAATTCTCTCAAGTCTTTTCCTCCTCTTTGATAACATCAAGGGAGTCCAGACCAAAGGTCCACTGTTCTCTCCTCCATCAAAACATTTAAAAATCAAATGTAGGTTAGGATTACTGTAAGTTAAAATAAAATCTCCAAATGATGTACCTAAAATGACCTCGACATAAAAAACATAACACAAACCTGAAAAGCTAATGCGGAAACATCAACGTGCTATTCCTCATTTGGGCCATAAAAAAAATAAATACAAACACAAGGAAAAGTGGGCCGCGGTCATTCCAGGACTGTACCAGGACTGGCCACCAGCCAGAGTTTGGACACGTCAGGATAAGGAAAGTAAACATGTTTGTTTCCACACTAAATCATCTTGTAATCTTGTCTCTCCCGGCTGAACAGAAGACCTTGATGGCCAGGATCACAGCAGCAGCAGCGTCACCTCCTCCACTGCCCACTGTGGGGTGGTGGCTGTGGGCAATCACGGCGGTGGAATGTCAGTGACTCAGGGAGGTGGGACAGCATTCTGGTCGGCTGACGACTCCATCCCTGACATTTGTTGAAAACAGACCCTGTGCCATTTCAAACAATGACCGGTCAACTCTGACCTTCCAGAGTGTTCATGAACCAAACACAACATGAGCCGAGATGCCAACTATTACACCATCCTGTGGACAAAGGCAGCTGTGAGAGCAACAGTCGCTGCTGTCTGTCTGCACTTATCACTGCTTTGTTTTACGCCTCACAGCCCTGAGAAAATATGTGGAAAACCATTCACTACACACATCTGGGCTTAAAGGACAAAGATAAAAAGAAAAACAGCAGTTCCTAAAACAAATTATTATTTAAAAATAGCTGATTAAATAACTATAAAGGTCAAGATTATTGTGACACCAAAGCTAAAATAGTCAAAGCAAAATCCAAGGCCAGTTGGAGATACAGTGAAACACAAAGCTAGTGGAAATGTAGCAATAGCCAAGCTGCTAGTGAGACTAAAGCAAAAAGAACGCGTCTTTTGTATCAAGTGTTGCTTGTTCTTATTTTTGGGCTTTTGGTTCAGCTTTTTATTTTGCTTTGAACAACCTGTGCTTGTCGTAGTAAATCTTAATAACCAGCATTTAGCAATGTATCTATAAAGTCTCAAACTAGCAGTTTATATTTTGGCTAACGTTAAGCTAACAGCTAGCTAATTTGATATTTTGCTAACCAACTATTTTGCTCCGGGGCAGTTACTGTAGTAATGATGTAATTGTACTTGTCAGTGGTACTACTCCATTGTCCTGGACTCACCCCAGTCAGGCCACTGAGGCAGGGGTAAGTAGTATGAGTGTCAAGTCAGAACAACAATGTCAATGTTAACTGGATGTAAAAGGTGTTGGCCATGAGCAACGATGCGTAAGCCTTGTTCATGTACAGGCCAATATTTGCTGACTGGGGGTGAAGACAGTACCAGAATGCTCTCCAGCTGGTGGAGCAGGGGGGAGGGGGGGGGGTGTACAGTAACAGAAGGAGAATTTTGCAACACCCTGTCATGAGTGAAAAGAAAAAAGAACGATCCAATTAGTGAGTGATTCTCAGTCAGCACTGACTCCGCTCTGACTGGGGGAATCTCCTGGAACTGTTTTCTGCCAATGGAACAATCAACAATGTGCCACCCTCAGCAGAGACTTCCTGTGCCGGCCCTGTGTTTGTCATGACAACAATGACGCCAGTCAGTGTGATTAAGGACAGAGCAGCTGACGTCATGTGTGCCAGGCACGGTCCAAGCCATGTGGGTCTGAGAAACCTCCAAGAACTGAACCAGCAACCCTTCACAACTTGCACTTTTACAACAAACAAACAAAGCTGTTAGAAATCAGCAGTGTAACAGAGTTAGCAGGTACAAGTAAAAAAAAAAAAAAAGCCTGGAGAAGCTGAAAGATTCTAACAAATATAAAAAGAGGTTTGTAGTGTAGAAACACCGAAGCCATTCATATGATGTTCACAATAATGCTACAAAAAACGCTGGGGGCTAGCAAGGCAAAATATAGAGACATCAAATTCGGCTGTTGGCTAATTAGCATTTTTTTATGTTTATTGTCAAAAATTATTTATAAAATATTTTATAAATAATAAAAATATTTTCACCAATTCCGTCTCGTTAGCTAGCATTTAGCAAACTGGTGTTCACTGTTGGCTAATTTTGGCCAAACATGTATTGAGGACTCAACTTAACATCGACAGTCTCAAAAACTAAAACCATGGCGACTGGACTGACGGTCAGCCTGAAGTTTAACCCTGGGGACTGGACTGACGGTCAGCCTGAAGTTTTCTTACTTAACCTAAAGTCAGACTTTGACCTAACCACCGTGGACTCTCTTCTGGGGCAAAAATGCAACTTGATCAAAACCAAAGACAGAGCAGCAGCTTTAACGACAATAAAGTACACACTAATCAGCAGCGCAGACAAACACACTTACAGGACACCGAGTGTGTACACAAGGAGGGTATCATGACGTGCACACGGTCTGTGTATGTGTAATGAAATACTGGTATAGCATACTTGTGGGGACACCTTTCTGACCATACCTTTGTTGTGCAGTCCCTTGTTTTTGAGGGGACATTTTTCTACCATATCGCCACCTTGTGGAAAAGACAAAAGTGATTCTTTTTTTCTGTGTAACTGACAAGGGGATGCTATATGCTTCTATGAAATGTACATAAAATATTTCTCTGTATTTGTGACATAAAGATGAAATGTAAATGTTGTTGAAATACCTTTATTAAAACTTCAGAAAAAAAAGCAACAAGAAACAGAAGTGGACAAAAAAAAAGACAGAAAGACATAAAGAGAGAAAGGATAAAAGAACAGATGAAGAAATCCATGCCATAACAATAACAATCACATCTCAACCTCAAGTCTCCTCCGCACAGAGGAAAGTACGTCAAAATAAAAGTCTTTTTCCTCCACATTTCTAATCATAGAGACCTAATTTGAAAGTACAGAAAAGTACCACATGGCTTCTCTCCTGACCTGACGCTGCACGTGTGTGTGTGTGTGTGTGTGTGTGTGTGTGAGTGTGAGTGTGAGCGACAGAGTATTTTGCATAGAATCACAACCAACAACCCAGTAACACAGTTAATTACAGTGTGTTGGATTAAATACTTATATGGTTGTTTGACGAGTCAGTGATGGCAGTGAACCTTCAGCCTCAGAAGATCATCATCATCATCATCATCATCATCATCATCATCATCATCATCATCATTTTTCTGTGATTGTCAGGATGACGGATCATCAGTCCTCCACAGTTTTGTGTCTTCTCTGCAGTCCATAAAATACACACTGACATAATTTACCCCCCCCGGCCACACAGTGGCGCCACTATAACCATAGTTTTAAAGACGTTAAAAACAACCAGCGCTGTTCTATCTACTGTATAAATGCTTCGTTTATACTGCGGTTGGTAGTTAAATAATATGAACAATAATAGACTTTCATATAGAGTCAGGCACATTTAAGAGTACATCTTAAGTTTGGTGGTTCTCAAATTGGAGGCTGTGGCCCAACAATGGGTCACAAGTTATGTCCAGCATGATTTAACCAGGGTTTTTTTCCTCAACGTTATCATCTGCTGGTCATTTTTTATATTACAGGAAATAGGTTGAAAATTCAAGGATTCAAAAGAGTTTCATTTTTATCAAAAAGACGGTATTTGTTATTAGAAATAAAAATATAAATGATGATCTTTTAATCTGACCTTTTCTTTCTAGTTCATTAACATTTGATCTACTATCAGTATGTCAATCCAGTGGGATTATGTGGGGATTATATGAAGAATATTCTTTTCAATTTGTGAGAAATTAAGATTAAAATGTTAAAAAACTTGGTCAGAGGGTTAGGGTTAAGGTGGAGGACGTAGCCCAGTGCTTGCGTAAGGACAAACTGTCACGTAAACTGCAATTAATAAAGCAAACATGCACATTATCGTCAATGCAGAACACACACTCACACACACACGCTCACACACGTGGTTCATACACATTAAGAAAGTAAATACAAATAGAAATATATTATCTCTGGTTGACGTTCTGTCCAAGTATCAGAAATGATGGAATTTCACCTCCTGCTCCCAGAAAAAAAAAACCAATGAAGTCAGCAGACAGAGTTTTCTCCTCCTGCTCCTCGTGGAGCTCAGAGTCAGGGGGAGGTTTTTCTCTTTAAGTGAAAGCATTTGAGATGGAAAGTGTCCACAGTCATTTCTGGGGTTTATTTTTGAAACAGCAGAGGTTACTGTTCCACACAGGATATTGTGAAATCTCCTTCACTAATGTCACATTTTTATGATGAGAAAACATTATTTCACTGATTCTGTGATTGGATGAAAACTGGGACATAAATACATCTCACAACAGAGGAAAATCCAGTAACACCCCCCCCCCCCCCCCCCCCCCCAGATAAGCTGTGTCCAACATCTGGTCCAGGACCTGATCATGGCAGAAGGGCAGGTTTTTACATGAGCTGGAATATCGTTTCTTAAAAGTAATACTTCAAGGATAAATATCAAAATAAGATCATCTCATTAACTCTTTTAAGCATATTTAAGACAATAAATCCAATTTTAGAATAACCTCAGCAATAACTTCTGCTGTAGTTTAACACTTAACCATTTCTTGTCCAATCGACTCTTTTCTGTTAACACTACTCCTTGAAAGCTAAAATATATTTCCACATTAAATTCATTTAGCTATTTTATTAGGTGGTTTTATTTTTTAAATCATGAGTTAAAATGAAAAAGTGTCTCATTGTATTCTGATGTGTATGATCCAGTAGAGGGCACTACCGAGGTTCTTACTGTGCTGTTAGGAGAAACGATGTTGTTTAGCATTTTTGGTTAACTTTCAGTTGCGGCTGCTCATCTTTCCGTCGCTGCATCAGTAAAGGCGCTGCAGTTTCACAGTGTTCCCTCGTGAATTAAACCTTCGTCCTAATCTGGACAAACGAAAACTTTAGGCAACATAACGATGTGATGGGGTGTGTGTGTGTGTGTGTGTGTGCACATTTGGAAAACAAAACTGTAGAAAACAGGCAGAGTGTAAATGTAGCTTGGCACTGAAACTGACAGAAAGAACAGGAAGTGAAGAGCGAGTGCTGTACAGAGAGTGGGAGGTGGATATACAGGGACAACTCACAGCCCTAATGTTGTGAGCATTTATATGTATATGTATATATATATATATGTATATATGTTTGTAGAGTTACAAATGTTATGGGAGGGGAACTCTACCAGAGAGTTTGATATGTTTGTCAGCATCGTCACTGAATCTCACTGCCTGAATCCTGCTGATCTGCAGTTTTTGTTTTTTTGTTTTTACAGAAATTGCTGCAGAGTGAACTCTGGTGATGCCTGTCTAAGAATAGCTCAGTTCAGCAGTGCAGTGAACTGTACTCCCCCGTGGACTGGGAAAACAAAAATGTTTTGCTGGACAGCTGATGACTTGCAGTAGTACTGGCTGGCCACACGGAGGCGCTGCCACAAACAGCTCACACTCCTGGACTGGAAACACAGTGTTGGGGACGGTTTCTGACGGCAGTGTCAGTCTGGAGGTGAATAATCTGAGCAGCTGACGATGAATCTGTTTTGTTTTGGCGTCCCAGAGCGACACCTGAGAGCACAGGCGATTGTCTTCCAGCAGGATTGTCAGTAGAAATACATTTCCAGTCTCCTCTGGTTTCCTTTGTAAAGCTTATTTGACCCATGCGTCCTCCATCTTTAACTTTCTCCTGGCAGATGGAGAAAACTCCCGAGGCAGTGATGCTGCGTTGTGTATGGTTAGAAATGCTGCGCTTCATCAGAACACAGAACAGAGCAGTACGTGTTCACGTTCTCTCAAACACACACTTAAAATAACGTGCTCCATCTGAGGAGGAGGAGGAGACCGAGGACGGAAGTCAGGCGCCACCTTTACTTCCCCAATATTCTTCTTCTTCATCGTCGTCGTCTTCTCTCTCTCTCTCTCTCTTTCTCTCTCCGTCCATTTTTCACTGGCTTTCCATCTGTTTTCCAGGATCAGATGGATCCAGGATTTATGTTATTTTCAACTAATGTTAGTTTTTTTTTTTTACGCAGTCAAATCTGATATCACCAGTTTATCCATTTTATTCCCGATCTCTGCTGGGACGTGGAGTTCCTCGGACTCGTAGTCGTCATCAAAAGAGCTGAAAATGAAACAAAGAAAAGTCTGCACTTCTTCACTGAGCTTCAGGATGAATGCAGTGATGTCACATGGACACAGTGAGGTCCACGACTTCAAATGTGTTTCTTCTTGTGTGTGTGTGTGTGTGTGTGTGTGTGTGTGTGTGTTGTACCCTTCATGGAGCTGCTCATTTGCAGTCTCCTCAGCCACCAGTATCTCGTACTCCTCTGAGGCGTACTTGTCCCAGTCAGATGGTTCCGGACCTTCACTGTCGATGTCCTGCAGCAGCAAACGCACAAACACAACATCAGAGACGACGCCACACAAGGTTCTTTATCGTCAATGAACAACATAAAGAAATACAATTTCAAAAACATCTGGACATGGAAGTCTCTCAACGTGATGGCTAACTGTGACCCGCAATGTCATTAAAGCACAGGTGTTCAACATGAGGTCAGCGACCCCTATCGGGCCCATGGAGGTATAGTACCAGGGTCTAGAAGATGTTGGTAAAAATACTTTTTAAATAAAACATGAATGCATCCATCTGTGTATTTTTTAAATAACCCAATAATGAAGGCAAAGTATGACATGATTATCTATAATATGGTCTGTTGATGCTCAACAGTCACTGACCTGTGAAAACCGTAGACACTTGTCACTAATTCACTCCGCAAACCACATTTATTAAAGTTTAAAAACTGTTCGATTTTGCTTTTTGATAAAAATGTGCTTAATTGGAATACATTTCTGACAAAGTCTGACATGAACTAGTTTTATCTTTTAAACCCCAAAAAATCTATGAGTCAGTTTAGAAAATTTATTTTTTAACCCCCCAAAAAATCTACCAGTCAGTTTAGAAAAAAAAATATAACCCAAGTAGTAGCCCAAATCAAGTCACTCAGTGTTACGACATCGTCTGGAGAACCACCCTGACCTTTTGCACAGCAAACGGGTCTCTCTGCTCATGGTCGAGGTATTTCTCCAGGTTGAAGAAGGTGTCGAAGAAGATGTGAGCCATCCGACATCGCTTCAGGTCGGTCAGCGTTATCTTGCCTGCAGGAAACAGCATTGAAAAACAGCCAGGTGAGGCCTAGCCTTTCATTAAACCAGTGTCAGAAAGTAGTGGAAAACGAACCTGGACTCTCAGGTTTGACCAGATCCAACATCTGACAGAGCAGATCCTGGAAAGGCAGGGGTTCGATGCCCATCCTTTCCATCCTCTCACACTGTTCCTCGTAGAAAAACTCCAACTCGAACATGGACAGGACGCCGTCACCGTCTACGTCCATGCAGCGGAACCAATACTCGATGCTGAAGTGGAGGTTTAAAAAGTACAATTAATGGAGTCAAAAATGGTGAGACTAAAGGACAGCTGAGGCCGTGCCTGGTACCTGGTGGGGTTTTTCTTGTCCTCCTCAGATATGAGGAACCAGACGAACTCAGCGTAGCTCATGCGTCCCTCCCTCTGCACAGCACTGCCTCTGGACGGAGGACAAACAGGAGTGTTTTTAGTTGTTACCATGATGGTGAAGTCATCAGCTCCTCTATGTTTGTTTATGCATGTGTTTCCACAAACCGAGTGACGGCGCCTGAAAACAACCTCTCGATGATTCTGCTGGAGGACGCTGTCGAAGCAGAGAGAGAGAGAGAGAGAGAGAGAGAATGAGAGACACAGGCGGATGTTACGACTGTCCACATAAACACAGACAAACGCATATTGTTCTAAACAACCCTGGAAACAGAGCAGCAGTTGAACTGCATTGAATCACACTGTTGGCAGAAGAGTTAACAATTTAATGGATTTTACATCAGGCAGTAACAGAGTCCTGTCAGGGACAAACAGCTGCTGCTGCAGCCGAGCCAAGTCGTGGTGGTCCGATGAACCAGACCCAAACGTTGGTCTGTTTCTGATTCTGGATTTTACATTTTTGATATGAACACACAGGAAGAATTAAACACTGAATAAAAATAACTAACTTAACTATAATAACTTATTCATCATGTCAATAATAACAACAGATAGACGGAACCTGCAGTTTCTACATTTGGTTTTCTTCCACCAGTGGTTCTTTACCGTGGTCATTGTATCTGGACAGGTCTTTAGGGTCGATGTACAGGTCATGGTCGGTGTCCAGCTCCCAGAACTTGCAGTAGATGACGTAGAAGTGCTCGTAGGAGAAGTAGTCGGTGATCTGGTTGATGTCGTCCTCCTCCTCCAGCAGAGCCAGGGTCTGCAGGAAGTTGCTTCTGCGCAGCTCCATCATGGTGATGCGACCGGTCCACGAACGGTTCACGATGTAGAATATTCTCTGGATCACCTGAGAGAAAACGATCCAAGAAGGTTTCTTACAACACGTTCAGAGTTGTACCCGTCTGAAGTACATTTAAAATTACATGCTTTTCAAAGGTCCTCTACAATGAAGATTCAGGAGGCTAAAAGTTAGCCTAGAACGTGCTTAAAGTTAGATCAAAGTAGAGAAACGCGTTAGCCGCCACAGACGTTACAGTTAGCCTTCACCAAAGATGGAAAAAAAGAGCCACTACATAACAAAACGTAACAAACGTAAACAAATACAAACAGCTGCCCTGTCAGTACGAGAAACTACACACAACCTAACGTTATCCACGCAAACAGAGATGGACGTTAGCATAAAGCTAACTTAAAGTTAAATGGGGAATGTGGAATATACAATAATTTTAAAAATTTAAGACTAAAGACAAACGACAAATTAATAAAGGTTAGCAAGAAAAAATTAACCAAATTAGAGCAAAAGATAACTTAATTTAACAGAAACAAAGGAATAAAAGGTCAAAAGTGCTGAAACCTCAGAAGAAACAAGTCCTAAATCTGACATTATTTGACAAATCGTATCATCATATGACCTTAACCTTTAACCTTGTCCAAACTCTTCTGACTCAAACTTCACTTACTGTTGTGATGTAGCGGGAATGGAATTCAGGAGCGTCCTTCAGGAAGGTGAGTCCAGGGTGTGTGTCCACGATGTCCTACAGAACATGGACGTGGACAGAGAGGACAGTATTAGTTTAGAATCTGACCAGACTGAGTATCTGAACAGTGGAGCTGATGAACCAGGTACCTGCAGCAGAGGGATGAAGTCTTCCTGCTCCAGGTAACTCAGACCAGGTTTGGCCAACAGGTAAATAAACCTGGACGCATCGTCATGGCAACTGTGCAACAACCTGCAGGCCAAGAACACAACAGACTAGAACAGGATAGAGTACTTGATGTATATAGTACACCTTGTACGTGCAGTAGAGTACACCTAATACTAGAGGACATTATAATGAAGTGACGTCAGGTGACATCACGTCTGAACTCACTTCCTCCAGGTCGCGATAAAGGAGTGAACGGAGACGAAGCCCGTCCTCTCCCCACCTGCTGAGTAGAACATGGGGGCCTTCCAGTACAGAGGACAGCCACAGGCCTGGACACACACACACACACACACACACACACACA